TTTCTTAGCCTGGCGGGATTCTGGGGTGGGGGAAGGCTGCGCGAGGGCTGTGGCCCCAATGTCGCCGGCCCCGCCCCTTGCTCTCTCCAGCCCTCCACGCCTGTGCAATTCCGGTCCCTCCTCTTCCCGTTCCAGCCCCACCAGTTGCGTCTGGCACCCCGAACCCTAAGGGAGAAGTCACCCCCAGGCCTGGACCCACCAGCCTCCCAGGGCAGGCCCAGGTGTCTCTGCAGGGCCCCAGTGAGCGGCGGACACCCCGGGGGCCTCTGGCCTCAGTGTCCCTGGCAAGAGCAGAGTCACAAGCTGGGCTATTTTTGACTTCGCAGCTGCCACCGCAAACCTTGGACCCCCCTGGGGCGGGGAAGCAGCTGCGGGGAAGCCCCCAGCGCGGGAGCCAGCCGCAACCCTCCCTGCTATTTCAGGGCAGCCGGAGGAATCCTGAAATTGAAACCTCCTGGCAAAAATGGCAACCCCCTGTCGCACTCTAGACAGGCCGGATCTTTCCCCAGAAAGAGATGGGGAGCAGAGCTGGACACGGCACAGGACTGTCCCGCTCAGCACGGCCCAGCCGGTGTCTGGTCCTCACGCGGCCAAGTGTAAAAGGAAGGGCTGGGCTACATCCGGAACCCCCACACTCCCACGCCCGGCAGAGGCACCTGCAGCGCTATTAATAAAACAGCGCGCAGTGACTCCGGTCCCTCTGCTCTTGGAAGCTTCCCTAAAGTCACTTTCAGCTCAAACATTCCCGTTGTTTAAGGCTCAACTGCTGGCTGTGTGACCTCGCACAGATCGATCAACCTCTCTGAGTCTCCGTTATTCTCCTCTGTACAACAGGGAGAAATAAGGACCATCTCATGAAGAAGGCGGTGAAGAAGAAATCACAGGACATCGGTAGCTCCGTAGCAGCTTCGCCGGTCACAGCGCCAAACTGGGAACAGCCCAGATGTCCACCTCGCGATGAATGATAAAAAAAATTGGGGCGCGCCCATGCAGTGGAATGCCACTCAGAGATAAAAAAAAAAAGGAGGGAAATGTCGATAACCTACAGTCATATGATTAAATCTCAGAATATTCATGAAAGAAGCCAGACCCAAAAATAAGAGTACACACTGTATGATTCCATCTATAGAAAATTCCAGAAAAGTAAAAAGGAATCCTAGTGACAGAAAGCAAATCAATATTTGCCTGGGGGAGTTGGGGGTGGGAGGAGGATGGAGAGGAGGATTAAGAAGAGGGTACAAAGGGTACAAAGAAACTTCTGGAGATGACGGATATGTTCATTATCTTGATTGTGGTGGTGGTTTTAGAAGTAAATACATATGTCGAAAATCATCAAATTGCACACTTTTAAATATGTGCATTTGATCGTGAGTCGGTTAAACCTTGGTAAAACTATAAAAAATAATAATGGGAAAGCCCCAGACACGTGCATAACTGTCAATTTATTAATAGTTGCATCTGGGTGGTTCTTGGATGAATTTTCCTCCCCTAGAATCCAGACTCAGGTCTGCTTTGCTAACGGTGTGTCCCCGATACCTGGCACATAGTAGGTGCTCACTAAATAATGGTGGTTGGACAACAGAGAGGCCCTGGCCCTGTTACTTTCTCCTGGGCCACCTCAGAACCCAGAGGGTTAATTCATCCCACCCGGGGCCTCTACGAATGAGAACCAGGACAGACAGACCTGACCCACAGACAACACCCCAGGGCAGAGTGGAAACAAAGAAGTGGCATCCACAACAAAACGCAGTGGGTGCAAGACACATGTCCCCACCCTGCCCACCGTCAGTAGAGGGGCTCGGCCTTTGTGACATAATATGTTTTAAAATGAGCCAGGAGGCCGGGTGCGGTGGCTCACGCCTGTAGTCCTAGCACTCTGGGAGGCCGAGGCGGGTGGATTGCTCGAGGTCAGGAGTTCGAAACCAGCCTGAGCAAGAGTGAGACCCCCATCTCTACTATAAATAGAAAGAAATTAATTGGCCAACTAATATATATAGAAAAAATTAGCGGGGCATGGTGGCGCATGCCTGTAGTCCCAGCTACTCGGGAGGCTGAGGCAGGAGGATCGCTTGAGCCCAGGAGTTTGAGGTTGCTGTGAGCTAGGCTGATGCCACGGCACTCACTCTAGCCTGGACAACAAAGTGAGACCCTGTCTCAAAAAAATAAAATAAAATAAAATAAAATAAAATAAAATAAAATAAAATAAAATAAAATAAAATAAAAAATAAAATGAGCCAGGAAGTCAGCACAGAAGAGTCCTATCTGAGGGGCCAGACAGACCTGGGTTCAAATCCCAGCCGTGCTGGGCTGTGTGACCCCAGGCAAGTCACTGCACCCCTCTGAGCCTCAGTTTCCTCATTTGTAAAATGAGAGCGGTGACACTGCTCATTGTGTGGTGGCGGTTAAATGTGGTCACGGATGCACCAACACACACACCTTCCTTCGGCCTTACACACTGCATGTGCACACACACGACACCTACTGTATACCAGGCACCATGCCGAGTGCTGGCGGTGGCAGTGGCCTCAGGCCACCGTCCTTGAGCACTTTGTACGCCTTGGCAGTGACAGGTGCCCAGAAGTACCCTCAGAGACTCTGACGTCACTGGGCCAGGTGGGACCAGGAACGGCCTTTTGGAAAGTTCTCGGGCCGTCCCGACGCGCAGTGTGGGGACTCTGCCATTCCCTCTTCCACACCTGGCAACGGAGGCCAAGAGAGGTGAGGCGACTGCCCAAGGCCACACGGCTAAGAACGGACGGAGCTGGGGCGGAACCCAGACAGTCTGACCCCAGGACCCAAACCGCCCCAAACAGCGCGAGAGGGTGGAAGGCCGTGTGCCCGGCGGAGACGAGCTCTCGCCCTGGACGCGGCGCCATGCCAGCACACGCCCAGTCCCCGGGCTGATCTGAGCGGGCCAGGGAATGGGGAAGGAGCCCCACTTCCCTCCGGTGGCTCCTTCACACCCACCGTCCCCGCCACAGGTGACCAGAATCCCCCATTTCTGCCCTGAGCTGGGGCTGCCCTCCCGCCCGCTTTGCAGGGACAGCAGGCCTGGCCCCGGGACAGACCTCGGGCTGGGGGCAGCCACGCAGCTTTACCAGCCCTGGGACAGTGGGGGCCTGTTCAGGCCCTGGCAGGCTCCTGGGCCCCTGGGAACAGTGGAGTCCTCGCCCCCGGCCTCAAACCCAGTTTTTGTCCCCCAGCCTGGCCCACACCCCCCACCCCAGCCCTCACCCCCTCTGTGACTCCCTGCTGGCGCCCGGCCAAATGCGTGCCCATAAAACGCCCCTTCTGGGTCACCCCGTCGTAGATGTGAGAGTAGACTGGAGGGGCTCTACGCAGGACTGGAGCCTGCGGTCCCCTTCCCACGGGATTCATTTGTTCATTCATTCATTCATTCATTCATTCACTCTTCATACCTCTCTGGGCCTCAGTTTCCTGATGGGTGGCAGGAAATAATAACGGTGCCCACCTTGTAGAGGTGTGAGTCTCAGCGAGTTGACGATGTCATCGACTCAGGCCCAGCCCAGAACGGGTGAGTCAATTGTAAGCTGCTGTCACCACGGGGCCCAGGGCACTGTGCAAGGAGGCTGGGTGGGGGCGACTGGGGAGACCCCCAGGAGAAGGGGACATCTAGGCCCAAAGCTAAAGGGTGAGGGGGAGTTAGCAAGGCGGCAGGCACTGAGGGGTTGGGAGGGGTGGAAAGGTGTCGCTGGCACAGGGAACAGCAGCTGTAAAAGCTCAGAGGTGAGGGAAGGGTTGACTCCTGCAATGGTGCTCAGGCCACCCCCCTAATCCACCCCCGGCAGTCTTGGGAGACACAGGCTATGGCTAAAGCCACACGCCATGTCCTCCAGAGGACCCTGTTGAGCACAGGCGGGGGGAGGGGCTGATGCCCAGGAAGCTGCAGATCAGGAAACTCGACCCTGTCTGCTCCCCCAAAGGTCCCCAGCGCCTGCTTGTGTCTTACGGGGTTTTTGCGTGTCACGGGGAAGCATAAGGCACTTGCTAGCCATGAGGCAGTACCTAAGACCCCACAGGAACTCGGCAAGAGACAGCGCAGCTGCGACACCCGAAAGGCCGGACGACGTGGGCAGAGCCACGAAGCGCATGGGCCTTCAGACCCGACTCTCCGGACGCCCCTGGCAGGCCTTGCCAGGCAGGGAGGGCCCTTCCCCACCGAGCAGGACAGAGGCCATTGTGTGCCGTGAAACCCAAACCCCGGCCCCCTCCGGGTGGGGGTGGGGCCGGCCGCCCTGCCCGCACACGCTCGGCCCGGCCACATCTGGACTCCAGCTGGCAGCTCCGGGGCCCAGGGCGGAGGGGGAGAAGTGGCCGCAGGGACTTGCCATCAAAGGCAAGGAGGAGCCTGGTGGGTCAGGACACGAAGGCGGAGCCCTCCAAACCCGAATCCCGGCCCGGGGTGCGGGCAGCATGGCGCTGGTGGCGAGACCCACGCCAGCCTCGCAGGGGGCGGGCAGCCGGGAGCCACGCCACTGCCGCGCCTCCCCACCGCCACGGTCGGTCGCAGAGCCCCGCGTGGCACCTCGGTCCGTGTGGCCTCGAGTCCAGAGCCGGTGCTCAGCCTCTGGGGGCGCCGGCACCCGCCCCATTCCGGTGAAGCACCTCCCTTCCCGGCACCCACTGCCCCTCAGCCTCCAGGGCCTGGCCGATGTGTCCCCCCCACCCCCCAGTTGTCCCCACTCCCTGGAACAGCCCTCCAGAAAACCAGTGAGACGCAGGCCAGGATAAAGGTTTATTGTACCGGGGGGTTACACCTCAGCTCCTGGAGAGCTGCGCAGAGCTGGGGGAGCCCCCGATGGAGGGACAGAGGAGAGACCCCCCCAGAGCCTCCCCAAAGCAGGACGGAGCCCAGGCTCCCTGTCACGAAGCGAGGACCGCGGACACAGGCTGCCAGACAACGTGCGTGGGCGTCAGAAACCCTCCCCCGGCCCCTGGGACTCCCCCCCAGTGGAAGTCCCCTCAAACGCCGCCCCAGCCTCCCGCCCCCACCCCAGCCACGGTAGCGACATGAGACATTCACCCCAAGACCAGGTTGCTTGGGCTGGGGGGGCGCCTGAGCGGGGCTGAACCCCCACCCCCACCCCCTAACCCTGGGCCCACCACAAACACGGGAGCGCCTCTGGGAAAATTCAGGGCAGTGTTTTCCAGAGTGCGTGCTACAGGACTTCACCCGTAGCTATAAGAAAACAAAAATAATAATAAGGGCTTCAAGGTTAAAAGATGTTTGAGACAAGCTAGGCAAAACCACATTCAACAGCAGCCTCTCCTGCGGGACTTGTCAGAGCCCTGCAGTGCTCTAAGGAAAGGTGGCGGGGCGTGCAGGGGAGGTGGCTAGAGAAGCAGCGTCTCCTGGACGAATTTGACCTTGACATGTTGCTTCTTTGGAGCGCCCCAGGGAACCCGGTTTGGGAAACACTCGTTTAGGGACCTGTCATCTCGTAGGTAGGGACCCCCCCACGGAAGCGTCCTAGTGAATCAGGCGGAGGCTCTGAGCAGGGGCAGAGTGACGCTAACGTATGCAGGCTTGGGAGGACACAAAGGGTGGGATCACTGGCAGTTCCAAAACACTGCTTCCGGCCAGCCCAGGCCGCCTTCGCCCTGCCAGCCCGGGCACCCCAGGGCCCTCGCCAACCGCGCCCAGGACTCCTGCCCGCCTGTTTGTCTTTGCTGCCTGGACAGAAAAGCAGCGACGTCTGCTGTCTCACGAGGGACCTGTGACGTATGACTCCCGATCGGCGAGGCTAATTTCCCGGGCCATTTTGTCGTGGTTCTAACAAGGATGTGTCCTTCCTCCTCCTCCTCCTCCTCCTCCTCCTGGGGTGTGTGCTGCAGGATGTGGCCCCTTGGGGCCACAGAGGCGGCCGTCCCGGAGCCCCGTGGCCCTGGGACCAGCATCTCTGCTGTCGGCGGACTCGGGACACGCTGGGGTTGGCACCGGGCGGCCAAGGAGGGGGCGTCAGGAGGCAGGCGGGACTGAAGGCCTTTTCACGCGCAGGGAGGCGACCGCCTGGGGTCTGACAGTCAGGGCCCGTAGCCCGAGAGGCCCGTTAGACACTGGGGGGCACGCTGCCGCAGGCGCAGGGGCTTTCGGGGGGCCCCGCTGGTCCCTGGGCTTCCTGGGCTACCGAGAGGGACCCTTCCGGCCCCCCTTGGCCCTCGCCAGCTGCCTGGGCCTCCTCGGCGCCCCCTGAGCACGGCTCCTGCAGCCTCTCTGGCTCCTGCGCTGGGCCCCCTCGCTCCCCCGGGGCGTCCCGGTCCGCCCCTTGGCCGCCCTCCGCCACCCTAGCTCCGTCCCCACCGCCGGGGGCCGCCCTGGCCGGAGACTTGAGGTTCTGGGTGGCGGCCAGGATGTCGGCCTGGAGCTGCTGGGAGGAGTCCAGGGCCTCCTCGGGCCGGCCGGCGGGGGCCCTGTCGGGGACCTCGCTGAAGGCCCGGGGGCCCCCGGCCCGGTCACTCTGGTCCACGTACTTCTTCTTGGGGAAGGAGGACGGGTAATAGGCCGAGGCCTTGTGCCTCTGGCGGGTGACGAGTGCGGCGCAGACGATGAACATCAGCAGGAAGGCCAGCGAGCCCACCACGGCGATGAGCATGACGTACTGGCGGAAGAAGTCCACGATCCCGTCCAGGAGGTTGGTGGGGGGCGAGGGGCCCGCCCGCAGCGTGGGCTGGGGGCCCAGAGTCGTGGGGCGGAGGGCCGGGCTCCAAGGTGGCGGGAGGCTGGGCGAGGAGGCCGACGGGCCCTCGGCCTCCCCGCTGCCTGCCACCTCCTCCAGGAAGGCGGCCTGCAGGGGCGCGGAGCGGGCGGCTGCCGCGGGCACAGGCCGCAGGAGCAGCAGCAGAGCCAGGAGGACGCTGGGGGCTGCCGCGGAGACCATGTCGCCCCCCGGGACCTGCAGGGACACGAAAGGGGAGGGAAGTCAGGGACTCCAGCAGCTCGGGACTCGGAAACGGGGCTCGCCAGGCCCCGAGGAGGAGCCGGGAGAGTGGAACAAGCAGCAAGTCCCTTCCCTGCTGGGGCCTGAGCCCCTGTCCCCACCGCACAAGGGACCCCCTTCGGATGCAGGGCACACACCTGTCCCCCACCCCCACTACCCTCTGAGGCCCTGGAGGGCAGGGGCTGAGTCTTACGTATCTCTGCATCCTCGAGGTTTTTTGCGCCATGTCGAGTATACTGTAAGCGCTCAATAAATGCATCTTGACTGACTTGGCTGAATTAATTGCTCACACTTTCCCCGCTCACCAGGTACCAGCTCCTATGCTAAGTTTCTCACAGGGGATTTCTCACTGCCTCCAGAGGTCTGCCTGGAGGGGAGGTGCTACAATCATGCCCATTCTCCGGGTGAGAACGCTGAGGCCGAGGGAGGCCAAGTGACTCGCCAGGGAAGAGCCGGGCTTTGGATCCAGGCATGGAGGGCGGGACGATGGCAAGGCTGAGTGAGAAACTGAGCGAGTGACCAAGAGGAGCCCGGGGACAGTCCCCCGTCCACCCAGGGACTCTCTGCAGGGTCCCCCAGCCTGTCTTCGGCCCTGTCCCCCCCAGGGCCTTGTCCCCGTGCGCTGGTTGACTGCAGAGGCTGCACATCCCAGCAGCTCAGGCAGGGGCTTTCTCAAACCTCCCCCAGCCCCGGCTCTGCCTCCTTCTCCGGAAGATTCCTACGTCTGGAGGCCTCCAGGTCTCCGAGCCGGGCAGGGCCCCCGATGCCAGGGGCGTGCCGGGTGCACCCCAACATGCCGCCTTCACCTCCGGGTGACAGCAGGGCTGGCAGGGCCCCCAGGAAAGCCCTGTGCCCGAGACAAAGCTGGCGCGGCCGCCCGCCCGCCCCACCCCCACTCGATGGGAACCAGATGAGCCCGCACCCCCCACCACGCCCCTGGCAGGCGCTCCCGGCATGAACCCCCAGACCCCGTCTGGCCCAGACAGCCCGGCTGATTCATAAATTCCTGCTGGCCCGAGTTTACAGAGGGACTCAGTTTCTAAAACATTAACTGTCCCCGCCGGGGTGAGTGGGGCCGGGCACATGGACACACCCAGGGACAGCTCTCTGTGCCCCCTGAGCACTCCTCCCCGGCCCAGCGGGGGACCCAGGTCCCTGCAGTGGGCCGGGGCTAGAAGCTTCAAGACAGGAAAGCCCTGGGAGCCCTGAAGCCTGAGGGGACTGAGAGGGGGGAGACAAAGGCCCAGAGAGGGCGAGGGGCAGGCCTAAGGCCACACAGCAAGCCTGTGGGCTGAAGTCAAGGTTCCCAACGCCCTGGTGCAGGTCACGCCTCGGCAGAGCAGACGACACTATCTACTTCACGGGACTCAGGGGATGAGGTGGGTCCAGGCGGGGGCCATTTAGTGGCCTGCTCCAAGCAGCCTGAGGCTTCCCAGTGTCGTGCTGTTAATTGGAATTAATTGTACCGGCACGAATCTGGACAGACTGGCTCAGATGGCAAAAACCGAAACAATAATTCCAGAACATGGAAAGAGGCAGAGCTACTCAAGAGTCCGTGTCAAATGAGCCGGTCACTCCTTGCTTTTCGCCTGCACCTGCTGGGCTGTGGGGTCTTGGTCCTGCCAGTCACAAGCCCAGCCCGGGGAGACCTGTCATGGTGACAGCCGAAATGGGTCACTGCAGAGGGCAGCTAAGGCCGTGGGTGGCCGAAGACCTGCTCAAGTCCTGAGAGGCTGGGGTTCGAATCCTGGCTCCACCGGGTGTAGCCCTGAGGTCTGACGACCCTGGCCTTCACTTTCCCCATCTGCGAACTGGGGGCATGGGACTGGGGTGGCCACAGGTCGCACCTCTTGGAGCTGTTGGGATTGCAGGAGCCAACTTTTAGTGACCGCCTGGCATGAAGCAGCCACACACCCGGGCAACGTGGGGGTCAAGAGTGGCCGAATGCCGCCCCCCGCAGAGGTCCAGGGTCAGCCAGCACGCTCCCGCCCTCGGCCGACAGACGCTTGTCCTCGCCTGGTGCCCACGTTTGCTCATGAGACCATGATCACAAGGCCCGATCCCCACCCCGGGGAAGGTCAACTGTCTCCCCCTGTCGGGAGGACCCTTCTCAGCTCTGGCCACTGAGGATCGCAGGACCGGACACACACGCACGTACACACACACACACACGCACACGCATGTATGCATGAAGTCAGCGGTAGAGGGCAAGGGGTGGCACACAAACTGTCACTGGCTCCTTAAGGCTGAGACCCTGACTCTGAGTCCCCTGCACCCCACCCCCACCCCGGCCTCTGAGAAAGGGGGGCACAGGACACAGCCCCACCTGGAGCCAGCAGGGCCTCGCAAGAGATGGCTGTGTGGCCCCGGACGAGTCCCCTGCCCCCTCTGGGCCTCAGTTTCCCAACTGTAGAATGGAAGAACTGTCCTTCTATACGAAATGATCATTCTGCCTGCCAGCTGCCCCCGCCTCCTGGGTCTGGACTTTTTCAGGGACTCAGAATCGCACAAGCCCTTAGGAGCTGGGGTCCCCTCTCGTGTCACCCAAGAAGGAACTCAGGCCCAGCAAGTGGGGGCTGAGTCCCGGCCTCTCTTGGAGTCCCCAGAAGGAGGTCACTTCCCTGTGTACTAGGGCCGGGCACGTCACCTCTGTGAGCTCCGGTCCCCACATCTGCATAGTGGGGAGAAGGGCCACCTCCCTGACCACCGCTAGGACGAGGCGCAGCGGTGCGGGGCACACGGGAGGGATCCATCAGTGGGCGCCGCGTGACTGCCCGGGACTCCCTGCTGCTGCGACTCCTTCGCACTCGGGGCTTGTGGTCCTCAAACTCGGCGAGTGCCCTACTGCGTGCACGTGTGCAAACCACCCCTAAGGCCTGGGGACCCCAAGCCCTCAGGCCGAGGGGCCAGATGGCTGCCCCACCCCCACCCAGAGACTGGTGGCCTGTGGGGGAGGGGCGGCCCACGGAAACCTGGCTCCAATTAGTGGCCTTGGGCGGGGGAGGGGGCTCTCTGGCTGGAGCATGCACCCCCACCCCGGGGCCAGCCGAGGACAGGGTCGGGGCCTGGAGGTCTGGATGGGGAAGGGGCTCTGGAAGGCACAAAGTCTACACACGCACACGCACACAGCAGCATGGACACACTGCACAGGGACACACACGCCACAGACACAGCAGCAGGGACACACAATACCCAGACGCACAGCACAGGCACACGGACTCACAACACCTACACACTCGGGAGAGCTCACCCGGCACACAGAACGGACACACTGGAACACACGGACACGCAGCACAGGCACGTATGCAGGCCCGCGACACACACGCATTCCATCACACGCGTGCACACGACATCAAACACACACGCAGAGACAGCCTGCAAAGTGCTCCGACGGTCCCCTGCCCCAACCCCAGGACGGCCCCAGGGGCTCAGGACAGAGGAGGAGGGGACCCCAGGACTCACCCGGTCCTCCCCGCACAGGCCGGGGTGCTCCCGCCAGGTGGGGGAGCGCTGGGGCGTCTGAGAGGCCGCGGGCCGGTGCCGGGCTGGTCTGGGCTGGCGCCTGCCGCCCTCCCTCCTCCCGGCCCTCCTCCTTCCTCCTCGGCTGGGCTGCGGGGCCAGCTTGATTTCATTAAGAGGGTTTGGGGTGGGGACAGGGGGAGGGGAGGGGCTGCCGGGCCACACGCAGTCCCACCCTCGCTCCCGCTCCCGCTCCGAGGAGACCAGCTGCGGCACTTCCTCCCTGACCTCGGGTCCCCAGGGCAGCCAGAGACAGACAGACAGACAGACAGACAGACAGACAGGGCTGTCCCGCAGCGCGCCCCCAGACAGCGGGCTGGGTCCTGCCCGCACCCCCACTTTCCAAAAGGGATGAGCTCAGGGAGGTCCGGAGGCTTCTGGAAGCGAGAAGGAAAATTCCTCGTCCTCGTGTGACTCAGGCTTTCCAGGCCCAGCGAGCAGTGTGGGAGCCGGGCGTGTTTTAGGGAGGCGCGTGGAGGCCCAAGGCCCAGACGAGAGGCCCAGTTCTGGCCCTAGCCAGACCCTTCACCCCTCTAGGCCTCAGTTTCCCCATTTGTAGGGGTGGGCAGGAAGCATTCTGGGCTACGTCTGGCTCTGACATTTTGGGACCTGAGGCCCCCCCAATGCTGCAGATGGAGTAGCTCGAGCAGGAGTTGAACCCATTCCACAGAGGGGAAGAGTGAGGAAGGGGGAGTTCCAGTGGTTCAGGCGGGGCCCGAGGCGAGTCGTGGCAGGCCCTGGAACCGGGACGTCCAGCGGACCTGAGGAATCCAGCAGCCCCTTGCATTCATTCATTCATGCATGCACTCATTCATTGATTCAGCAAATGCTCAACCAACACCCCTAGTGTGCCAGGCGCTGGGCCAGGCAGGTTCCTTGCGGAGGTGACTTCCAGGGAGGAGGGCACGTGGGTGGATTGCTCTTTCACAAAACAGAGAGGGGTCGGTGGCCAGAGAGAGTCCAGACCGAGGGCTTGGGGAACCCAGGACATAGACGGACCCGCTGACAAGAGAGAGCAGGGACATAGCCAGGGCCAGGACGCGCCTGACCACGCGCAGCCTGGACAGGAGCAGGCCCTGGAAACGCGCCCCGGGTGGAAGGACAGTGCGGGTGAGGGCGTGGTGGCTGGGACCGCCACGCACAGGCAGGGTGCTAGAATTACCCCGGGCTGGGGCACGGGCTAGGAGCAGGTGACAAGGGCAGGGGAAGCCGGCAGGAGCCGGGCTAACGTCTCAGGACTCAGAACGTTCCTTACCCATCCAGGCGGCAGTAGGGAGCCAGTGAGGGTTTGGGACAGGGGGAGCGAGTGAAGGAACAGCCCGTACCCTCCCCACAGGAATCGGGACTCTAGATTGTTGTCATTCCTTGCAATGGCCCCAGAAGCCCCCTGCTCGCCTCCCAAAAGGGTGACAGTCATTTGTTTGTAGACGAAAATCAGAGGCTTTCTCGTCTTCTCTTGAGATCACCCCAAACCCCGCCTCCCCGAGGGGACAGGGGACCGTCCTCCTGTGGGCACGCACACTCACGCACACACATGCCCCCACTGCAAGTGGCCACCCACAGACGTGTCATGCAGCTGCACCCACTTATAGATGTCCTGGGGGTGTCCCAGCCCTACCTGACCTGAGACCAGACACGGGGTGGGCAGGACCACTGCCGGGGGAGGATCCTGAGCCCCACAGTCTGGGGACGCTGGGAGGGTGATGGCCACGGCATCACTACCCCAAACAGGGCCTGCCCCCAGCGCAGGTGGGCCCAGACGCCCCAGCCTGAGGGGCCCCTCTGAGTCCCCTTCCCCCGGCCCTCCCTCCCCGGCAGAGCAGCCCCCGCCAGGAGCCATGAGCCCAGGGGCAGGCAGACCTGGGTTCAAATCCTGCCTTCACCACGGCCTGCCACACATGGGGCCTCAGCTGTCACACGGGGACCAGTGAGCGTGACAGTGCCCGGCAACGCAAAATGCACCGGCTGAAGCCCGAGGGGTTGGTTTCGAGCAGCTGCTGTAACGGGCGACCTCAAGCTTAGGGGCAGAAAACAGCACACGTCTATGGTCTTGCAGTTCGTTCCCGTGGTCGGGAGCCTGACACGAGCCTCCCTGGGCTGACGACCAAGGTGCCAGTGGGACTCGTGTTCACTCTGGAGTGTTCAGGGGACGAATCTCGTTTCTTTGCCTTTTCAAGCTTCAAGCTTCTAGAATCTTCTAGAAGCTGCCGGCATTCCTCGGTTCATAGGCACCCTTCTCCAGCCTCACAGCCAGCAGTAGTGGGCCGAGTGTTTTCATTTACTT